AGATCTAGGAAGATTGAAATCATTGTGACTGCGGTGGAGCGGTTCCTGGGGCTGAAAGATTTCACAGCAAAGGAGTTACATGGAATATGAGCAAAAGCCGTACCACCTTCTCAGGTACTAGAGCCTGAGAAGGGAGATATGGAGAACTAAAAGAAGGAAGAAGTGGGAGTTTTGTTTGTTTTGGCAATGTACTATTTTTATTAGGGTGGATTGTTAAAATTTTAATTTTTGGTTTCAAACTGTCCAGTTGGTGGCGGCAATACAACTTTTGGATGTAGTCCGCCATAAAACCCACAGAAGAAGAAGAAGAAGAAGAAGAAGAAGAAGAAGAAGAAGAAGAAGAAGAAGAAGACGAAGAAGAAGAAGAAGAAGAAGAAGAAGAAGAAGAAGAAGAACAACAACAACAACAACAACAACAACAACAACAACAACAACAACGTAGCAACACCACATGACAACAACATGGTAGCAACACAACATGGCAGCTGCACAACATGGTAGCAGCACAAAACATGGTACAAACATTATTGGGCACAGACAACAGCACAAAGGCAAGAAGGTAGAGACAACAATACATCATGCGAAGCAGCCACAGCTGTCAGTAAGAGTGCCCATGATTGAGTCTTTGAATGAAGAGATGGAGATAAAACTGTCCAGTTTGACTGTTTTTTGCAGCTCGTTCCAGTTGCTAGAACATTACATTGATGAAGTATAAAAAATGAATAGTTGTCTCGATAATTCCAATTGAAAACAGGATGAGTAAACTGGTGTCTTTGACCTGTTCTTTCTGAGTCAGATAATTGGAATAATCAATTCCATTACTGTTTTTAAAATACATTAATCAGTATTGTGTAAATCATTCTCCCAGTTGACATTATCTCCTGTACTTTCACTGTCTGGGCACCTTATGATCTTTTAAAAACCATAGGGATGGAGCAGCATGGTGCATATGGGCCTATACATATTGACATTTTGTGTTAGAGCGCCCCCAGCTGTGCTACTGAGTCACATTCCAAAAACATCATTGTGATGGGCTACTACACCATACTACACACACAGACAACACAAAAACATTAGATGTTTACAGAGTAGATTACCATTGTATATGACACACATTGCTACTATGTTGGAGATTATTACTCAACATAAATTATACTAATATTCATACTAACACAAAAGGCAAGGCCATCAATGCTCTCAAACTAGGACCCTTAATTTGAATTGGCAATATATTTCTAAGAAATATTTGCAAATCAATATTTTGTATATATACAAAACTGCATTTTATATTGGCAACAAATATATTTGCTGATAGGAATGCTACCAAAAAGAATTTACTGAAACTGGTTACAAATGACAGAGTCACCCATGATTCACCAAATTATATTTTTGAAGGAGGAAACAAAGTACTTTAAGCATATGTTTTAGTTTCAGTTGCCTCCATCTCCTCTAACTGAAGCTAATTGTAGAGATTTTTTTTCTATTGATAATGTAAAATTAACAGCCAAAGACTCATGTGAAGGTGAAATTACAGAGGAGGAACTTCTGGATGCAATTAAAGACTTTAAGTCCGGGAAAACTCCAGGGTTGGATGACATACCAGACGAGGTATACAAACCTTTTTTGATATACTCAGAGGACCGTTATTAGCATGTTTTAACCACTCCTATGTAAATGGTAGATTATCAGACACTCAAGAAGAAGGTCTGATTTCATTATTACTGAAACAGGATACAAGTGGAAAATATAAAGATCCAGTCCATTAAAAAAATTGGAGGCCCCTTACACTTCAGTGTTGTGATGCAAAAATTATAGCAAAATGTATAGCGCATAGAATTAAAAAGGTATTGTCGGACATTATTCATTCTAATCAGACAGGTTTTTTACATGGAAGATACATTGGAGATAATATAAAGCAAGTACTGGAAACAATAGAACACTATGGAAATCTGGGAAACCAGGCCTGCTATTCATAGCAGACTTCGAAAAGGCATTTGATAAAGTAAGACTGGGGTTTATATATAAATGCTTGGAGCATTTCAATTTTGGAGAATCTCTTATATCATGTATAGTAACCCTAGGTGTAAAATAGTAAAGAATGGCTATTTCTCAGAAAGTTTTAAACTGTCAAGAGGAGTGAAACAAGATTGTCCCCTATCGGCATATCTATTTATTATGGCCATCGAGATGTTAGCTATTAAAATCAGATCCAACAATAATATCAAGGGATTAAAAATCCAGGGCTTAAAAACATAGGTGTCATTGTACGCTGATGATTCATGTTTTCTTTTAAATCCACAACTTGAATCCGTCCACAGCCTCATTGTCACGATCGTTATTAGAGGCAGACCAAGGCGCAGCGTGATAGGCGTACATCTTTTAATGAGTACTTTACACCAACAACAAAACGATACGTGAAGTCTAAAGGTTCACCAACACAAACCTATACAGAACAAGATCCCACAATCAACTGTGCAAAACAGGCTGCCTAAGTATGGTTCCCAATCAGAGACAACGAGCAACAGCTGCCTCTGATCGGGAACCACCCTGGCCAACATAGATCTAAACGATCTAGACAGAAACCAAGGAACAACTAAACATAGGAACTAACACCCTGGCTCAACATTAAAGAGTCCCCAGAGCCAGGGCGTGACACTCATAGAGGATCTAGATACATTTTCTAACCTCTCTTGATTACAACCAAATTATGATAAATGTACTATATTACGTATTGGATCACTAAAAAATAAATTTTTTACATTACCATGTAGTTTACCAATAAAATGGTCTGATGGTGATGTGGATATACTCGGAATACATATCCCAAATGAAATAAATGATCTCACTCTAATACATTTTAATAGAAAGTTAGCAAAAATAGATAAGATCTTGCTACCATGGAAAGGTAAATACCTGTCAATTTGTGGAAAAATCACCCTGATTAACTCTTTAGTATTATTCCAGTTTACCTATTTGCTTATGGTCTTGCCTACGCCTAGCGAACAGTTTTTGAAATTATATGTGAAAAAAATATTCCATTTTATTTGGATCGGCAAGCCAGACAAAATTAAACGGGCCTATTTATATAATGAATATGAATTCGGAGGACAGAAATGATTAAATATTAAAGCATTAGATCTATCACTAAAAGCTTCAGTCATACAAAAGTTATACTTATTGGTTCTCTAGCAAATTAGTAAGATTGTCTCACCCAATGTTCAAGAATGGCATTTTTCCCTTTATGCAGATTACAACCTCTCACTTTCAGTTATTTGAAAAGGAAATCATCTCCCAAATATCACTATTTCTAAAACAAGCCATAGAAAGTTGGTTGCAATTTCAATTTAATCCTCCAGAAACGAAAGAACAAATAATGCAACAAATATTGTGGTTAAACTCAAATATACTAATTGATAAAAAACCTTTTTTTTTTTTACAAAATGTTTATAAAAGGTATAATCTTCGTAAATTATATCATCGGTAGGACTGGTGGAGTTATGTCGCACATGCAGCTAACAAAAACATATGGAAATGTCTACTCTACCCAAAATTACAACCAAATAATTGCAGCATTACCGCAAAAATGGAAGAGGAAAGTGGAAGGGGGAAAAAGTAAGGCTGTCTGTCGGCCTTGCATTAAAGAACATAATTGGTTAAAGAAAACTGTGATAAATAAAAAAGTATACCAGTTTCATTTAAGGACCAAAGGATTGACAGCCGTCCCATATAGATTGCAAAATAGTTGGGAAGAGATTTTTGACGTACCGATCCAATGGCATAGTGTTTATGAACTGATACGCAAAACGACGCCAGATTCAAAACTTATAATTTATCAATTTAAATTATTATATAAAATTCTTGCTACCAATAGAATGTTATTTATATGGGGGATACAATCTTCCCAGCTCTGCAGATTTTGCTGCGAAGAGACAGAATCATTCGATCATTTGTTTTGGTACTGTCCATTTGTAGCTTGTTTTTGGACACAGGTCCAGGAATGGCTAAAGGATTGCAATATTTACCTGGAGCTAACCCTGCAGATAGCATTACTGGGTGATCTGAAAAGTCATAGTCAATCGATGAATAATATAATAATACTTTTAGCAAAAAAAATTATTTTCAATTTACAATCTGTAGAAACAATGAGAATAGAAAGGTTCAGAACTTTTGTAAAACATCACAGTACAGTTGAAAAATATATGGCAAATAGAAATCCAATATGGATGGTGTTAAGAGATAGATGGGTGGTGTTGAATGGAGCTGAAGGATGGGATGAATAACAACTAACAACAACTAATAACAACAAGATAACTAATAATGTAAGCATACTGTGTCCATAATAAGTGTATAGGTTATAGGTTGAGAGCTTTTGTGAAAGAGCACAGTTAGAAAGATATGGCATATAGAAGCAAACCGGCTGGACATCATGAAAATGATCGGAGAGGTTGAGGGTAGAGGAAGTTCAGGAGTAAAAACAAACAAAATAGAATTATTGTAAAATTGACTGTGTCCATAAAATGTATATATATGTATAAACTGGAAGTAGAGGCCTAAGCATTGTTGTTCACTAGTTTACTCCAATTAGGGAGGGGTGGTGGGGTTGGAAAGTAATAAAGGGAAATATTTTTTTTTAAAGGATATGTATATGTTTATGTATATGTAAATGTATGTATGTGTGTATGTGTATGTATGTGTGTATATATATATATATATATATATATATATATATATATATATATTTGCGAGAAAAAAACATATGGGGGATTGGAAGTGATGCAGACAATTGCATTGATGGAAGTTACAATCTATCTGCAATATTAAAGCTGATCTACCCCCCTCCCCAAAAATAAAATAAAATGCTGGTAAAATTTACATATTTTCTAAACCTATGATTGGTTGATCCTCGTTTGGAACTCTGACCCTCTTCTCAGGAAACCACGTGGTAGTTCTATACACGCTGCTGTGGATAATCTCATCATGAGCGCATTTCCCTGAATGTCTTTTTCCGATAAATATTATCCAGTTCACAAGTAATCATGTCAGGCAAATCGGATTTCAAGATTAATTCTAAATTTGCAGAGAAATATGAGAAATATAGACAAAAAGAAGAGTTACAAAGGCGTAAGTGTGACTTCCCAAGCTTGTTAGCTAGCTAGCTAGCTAGATGGCTAGCTAGCCAGCCGTTTAGCTCATGTTAGCTAAAGTTATCCTTCTTTTCAACTTGCTTGCTAACTTTTGATCACATTCTCACTTGAAAGTAATCTTATTCTGTAACGTATTTAACTTATCTAATTATACGTTCAGAAGTTAACTTAGCCACCGTTACATTTTTGGTTATGACTAGGTCGCTAGCATGTTCAGATAGCTAGAAATCTAGTTGTCTTGTTTTCCTGGGGGAATGCTTGCATTTCATTGAATGGCTTGTCATGTTCAACATTGATTTATTTCAGTGAAAGACAAATATGGCGACCAAGCTGACGAGAGTGAGTCTGGTTCTGGTTCAGAGTCAGATGATGATAGCGAGGTGGTAAGTACTATTACTGTAGCTAATTAGCCTAGCTATATAACGTCAAGTTCACAATGCCAACACTGCCATGGTGTTCTATTTATGGTTTGTCAGTGTTTTTGGCCCTACCTTTGTGTCCTTGACCTGTATATTTGTAATTCCAATGCAGGCTAATGTGTGTCTTCTTAGGAACTTGACCCCAAAGTTGAAAGGGACTTCTACAGAACATTGTCTCTGCTGAAGAAGAAAGATCCTAAGATCTATCAGACTGATGCAAAGTTCTACACAGTGGAAGGTATGTCATCAGTCAGCGGTTCTTGTTGCTGCAACTGATTATGGTATGACACTTTCATTCTGTGTTGCTTGTTTGTTTTAAGAGGTGTCTTTCATGTCTCAACTTTTCTTTCTTAATCAGATGCATCCATTGCTGATGATGCCGTGCCTTCAACTTCAAAGAAAACGGAGAAGCCAATGTATCTGAAAGACTATGAGCGAAAAGTTATCTTGGAAAGGGGAGGGTGAGTGAGTTGCAGTTTTCCTACTGTGCATATCTTTCTTTGTCTCATTATGGGCAAATGGTTTGATAATAACAATTTGTCTCATTCCCAGTAAATATGAGGATGAGGAGGATGAGGAGAGTGATGATGAAGAGGCTGCAAAGAGGAGAGAGGTATGTTATGATACATTTACATGGAGGTATGTCATGAGAAGTAATTTATTGTTTGCCTTTGATTTCTTTGACAGAGAGCTGCATCTCCAAGTTACATCCAGGAGCAGAGAGAATTGAAAGAGAGGTAAGGGTTCAATTCTCTCTTAATCACTGTGCCCTTAGTCCTAAAGAACAACTTTTATTTATTTGTGTCGTTTATACCTGTCTTTGTAACATAAACACTGTCATGCTTCCTCCAGCTTCCGTAAGTTCATACAGGACAGTGATGAGGAGGGCAGTGAAGCGGAGAATGACTTTCAGCTGCTGAAGAGGAGGACCAAAACACAGGAAGAGAAGGTCAGCGTGGGAACCGGAGCCCGACTTTGTCTTATCTTACAGTATAAAGCTACGCAGAGATAAACGTTCTATTCTAACCTGTTATATCTTTCTACCCAACAGGATAAAGAGGAAGATGATTATGTGGACTGGCTGAAAGGCCAGGCAGAGCTGGAGGGCCAAGAAGAGGTGCAGGACATGGTGAGTGATGGAGAGACTGTTGGATTAGAGGGCTAGAGAGAGATATGTAATGACTTGCTGTGACTGAAGTATGTGCTGTGTGTTGAGACAGAAATACCTGAGGGACTATTGGAACGACCCAGAGCTGGATGAGAAGGAGTGTTTCCTTAGGGACTTTGTCCTGAATAAGGGCTACATGGAGAAAGATGACGAGGACAGGTGACAGTTATTTTATGTCTATACATTTGTCTGTTTTTTTGTTTTGCTCATGAATGCTTTCCTTTGTAATCATAGAGCAGTGCTCAGCACCACTCTGACTGTGTACTAATCTGGCATGGCTGTGTGCAGGATCCCCAGCTATGACGAGGTGGTGAATGATGACGTGGAGGACTCAGAAGAGGATGGGGAGTCGTTCTTGGAGCGCCAGGAGGACTTTGAAAGACACTACAACTTCCGCTTTGAGGAGCCTGATGCCCAGAAGGTGGACTTTCCTGTCTGTCTACACACACATGTCTGTTTGTGTGGTGTAGTGTATGTACCCTGGTCTCATATAGTCTCTTATTGTTCCTTACAGATCAAGACTTACCCCCGTACCATTGCCACCTCTGTCCGCTCCAAAGACGAGCGCAGGAAGCTCAAAAGGGAGGAAGTGAAGGATAGGAAGAAAAAGGTCAGACTCACATTACTCTCCATCTTTTAGTTCATCTTATCCATCAATCCATCCCTTCCTCATTTCCCCCACTCTCCCAACTAACCCACATGTCACTCTTCTGGCCCCTGCAGGAGAAGGAGCAGAAGCATGAGCAGCTGAAGCAGCTGAAGAATCTGAAGCGTAATGAGATTATGGAGAAGCTGCGGCGGCTGCAGGAGCTGACAGGCAACGAGCAGCTGGCCTTCAGTAAGGTGGACCTAGAGGGAGACTTTGACCCCCAGCAGCATGACCAGCTCATGCAGGTGACCACTCACACGCCTCAAGAAAGGAAACATATTTTAAATAAAAAGACACTTATCTTATTGTCTCTCCCTCTATTTTTCTTTTTTCAGAAATTCTTTGGTGATGAATATTATGGAGAGGAAGAGGGGGAGAAGCCCCAGTTTGAAGTTGAAGAGCTAGAGGGTGGTAAGTCACTCGTTGCTGACTTTATTCTCTCGTAGAATCGAATACCTTAGAATCAGTGGCATTGTAATAAGGGAGCTTTCTCTGTCCTGCAGAACACTGGAACTGGGACACATGGACAGGAGAGGGTGGAGATGAGGAATATGGTGGTGAGGAGGAGGAGCATGAAGGAGAAGAGTATGACCAGCCAAACTGTGAAGATCCAGATTTTATTGTGAGTTCCTCTAATATGATCATCACTTCAGCATTGCCTGCAGACCTTCAAAAACGCATTTAGGGGAGGCTAGTCAGAAATAAAGGTCTTGTTGATGATGGAGATGGTCAGGCTGTGACTCACTCATCTGAACTCTCACTCGACCAGATGGATGCGGACTATGATCCCAGTCAGCCAAGCACCTCCAAGAAGCAGAAGAAAAAGGAGAAGAGGAAGATGAAGAAGGAGGATGCCCCGCTGATGGGAAAGAAGAGAAAGAAGTCTCATTTTGCTGAGGTCATCACCCAAAACAAGCCTGTGTTTGACCCCCGTGAGTCTCAGGAGGTTCAGCACCATGAACCTTGGGTTATTTTCCATACCCTTTTAGATTCTGTTCGATATAGTATACAGATATTGAGACTGAATGCTCTTTCATGCATCCATCCTTTGTGTGTTTCAGAGGAGAAGTCATTTGAGCAGTACCTGGACGAGTACTATAAGCTAGACTATGAGGACATCATAGACGACATCCCCTGCAGGTTTCGCTACAGGCAAGTCCTGGCCAATGACTTTGGCCTGTCCACTGACGAGGTGAGACGGGGAGCTCTAGTTCGTACTAGGTTGTCTCGGGGTTGGGGTCAATTCCAGTCAATTCAGGAAGTACACAAAAATTCCAATTATTTTCCATCCTTTTCAATGAGGAAAATGTTGAATTTGGTAAACTTTTTTGAGGTGACTGGAATTGAAATAGAATTGACCACAACCCTGGGTTGTGTTATAGTGTTGTACTGTACAGACCCTGAGTCCTGCACTGATGAACTGAGATGTGACTGACCTGGTATTGCCACCCTCCGGGGATGGCTCTGACCAGGGCATGACTTCAGTTAATCTTCTCTCTGAGCAGACGAGGATGAGGAGACAGAACGCTAGAAAGGGCAATGCTTGTATGCACTGCGTTATCAACTTGCATGGAGCCTTATCTGCACAAATTAGGTTTGAAGTAATTTCTGTGGATTTAGCGTCTTTGTTTAAAGTGGCTGTATGAATATGTTACTATTACAGAAAGTAACTTGTGCCTCCCTCCTCAGATCCTGGGAGCAGATGAGAAAGAGCTGAACCGCTGGGCCTCGCTAAAGAAGACCTGCATGTTCAGGTACTGAACCTGGTCTCAAAACAGTAGGCCTTTACTAATCAGCTACCTATGGGGGAAAATGGCCTTTCAGATTAGTCCTTTTATATTTTTTTCTTCATCTCTTTTTCAGGTCTGATAAGGAGGAGATGAGTGATTTGCAGAACTACAAAATCAAATCACGAAATGTGAACAAAAAGAAAGAAGTCTTGAACTCTTTCTATGCTGAGTGAGTATTCTACCAAATGCAGATTATGTTCTCCAATAAATCTGAAAACGGAATCATCATCACTGACCAATTTGTGCTCATCTTTTCTTGCAGGGAGGACAAAGAACAAGCAGAGGGCAAGACCAAGGTGGGTAAGAAGAGAAGAGACAGGATGAAGAATGCAGAGAAGGATGACAAGGATCTGGAGGATGATGATGAGGCTGGACCCAGTCAGGAAAGCTCTGCATTGGACTCTGCTGAGGGGACGTTAGTCCAGGCACTGAGAGAGGCAGGAGACCAGGCAGAGGAAGAGGAGTTCCTGGTACCAAAATCCAAGAAGATGAAACTGGAGGAGGAAACAGTTGCTACCACTCAGGAGACTGCCAACACAAGGACTGAAAGGCCAAAATTGCCCAAGAAGAAACACAGGCACCCAGGAAGCCGCCTCATGTCGGGGAAGGGGCCCTTCAGGGTGAAAATGGGTGGGCGAGAGTTCAGCGGGCAGAGACTGAGGGCCTATGGACTGAATCCCAAGAGGCTGCACTTCAGACAGCTTGGCAGGCAGAAACGAAAAGCTCAAGAGAAGACTGAGAAGCAAGGGAGCAAGGAGTGAGGGAGAGATCGGCACCATTATGATTTATTTCCCCTTATATTTTTGTGGTTTGCGGAGTACGGTTGGTAAAGTGACAAATTGCACAATATATATGGACCAGAGAACAGTATGGTTCTTAATAAATCAAAGTTGAATGAGCTTACAATAGCATTGGCACTGATACAGTGAGGGGGAAAAGTATTTGATCCCCTGCTGTTTGCCCACTGACAAAGACATGATCAATCTATAATTTTAATGGTAGGTTTATTTGAACAGTGAGAGACAGAATAACAACAGAAAAACACGTCAAACATTTTTATAAATGTATTTGCATTTTAATGAGGGAAATAAGTATTTGACCCCTCTGCAAAACATGTAGTACTTGGTGGCAAAACCCTTGTTGGCAATCACAGAGGTCAGACGTTTCTTGTAGTTGGCCATCAGGTTTGCACACATCTCAGGAGGGATTTTGTCCCACTCCTCTTTGCATATCTTCTCCAAGTCATTAAGTTTTCGAGCCTGACGTTTGGCAACTTGAACCTTCAGCTCCCTCCACAGATTTTCAATGGGATTAAGGTCTGGAGACTGGCTAGGCCACTCCAGGACCTTAATGTGCTTCTTCTTGAGTCACTCCTTTGTTGCCTTGGCCGTGTGTTTTGGGTCATTGTCATGCTGGAATACCCATCCACGACCCATTTTCAATGCCCTGGCTGAGGGAAGGAAGTTCTCACCCAAGATTTGATGGTACATGGCCCCGTCCATCGTCCCTTTGATGCGGTGAAGTTGTCCTGTCCCCTTAGCAGAAAAACACCCCCAAAGCATAATGTTTCCACCTCCATGTTTGACGGTGGGGATGGTGTTCTTGGGGTCATAGGCTGCATTCCTCCTCCTCCAAACACGGCGAGTTGAGTTGATGGAAAAGAGCTTGATTTTGGTCTCATCTGACCACAACACTTTCACCCAGTTCTCTTGAATCATTCAGATATTCATTGGCAAACTTCAGACGGGCCTGTATATTTGCTTTCTTGAGCAGGGGGACCTTGAGGGCGCTGCAGGATTTCAGTCCTTCACGGCGTAGTGTGTTACCAATTGTTTTCTTGGTGACTATGGTCCCAGCTGCCTTGAGACCATTGACAATATCCTCCCGTGTAGTTCTGGGCTGATTCCTCACTGTTCTCATGATCATTGCAACTCCACGAGGTGAGATCTTGCATGGAGCCCCAGGCCGAGGGAGATTGACAGTTATTTTGTGTTTCTTCCATTTGCGAATAATCGCACCAACTGTTGTCACCTTCTCACCAAGCTGCTTAATGATGGTCTTGAAGCCCATTCCAGCCTTGTGTAGGTCTACAATCTTGTCCCTGACATCCTTGGAGAGCTCTTTGGTCTTGGCCATGGTGGAGAGTTTGGAATCTGATTGATCGCTTCTGTGGACAGGTGTCTTTTATACAGGTAACAAACTGAGATTAGGAGCACTCCCTTTAAGAGTGTGCTCCTAATCTCAGCTCGTTACCTGTATAAAAGACACCTGGGAGCCAGAAATCTTTCTGATTGAGAGGGGGTCAAATACTTATTTCCCTAATTTAAAATGCAAATCAATTTATAACATTTTTTACATGCATTTTTCTGGATTTTTTTGTTATTCTGTCTCTCACTGTTCAAATAAACCTACCATTAAAATTATAGACTGATCATTTCTTTGTCATTGGGCAAACGTACAAAATCAGCAGGGGATCAAATACTTTTTTCCCTCACTGTAGTTGCTAGTTTCTGCTATTTTACTGAGCGCCCCTCCAGGTTAACTGTGCTTTCAATTGTATATTTTAATATATTTTGTATTTTATTCCTGGAAACTATCGGATAAGCTTGAACAACTCTTGGAACAATTGTGATTTACTTGACTGTATTTCGCAAACTGCAACACAATTGTAATACATTTTGTGTACGCCTACTGTCTGTTGTTTTTGGTCTACCTGTTCTTGAGAAAAAAAATGGTTCCCTAAAATGAACACATTTTGTCCAGAAATAACCTCTTCGGATTGAAAGGGGATTAGCCTACCTATTTCACCACACAACCGAAGTTCCATCAAAGAGAGAATGGATACTTTAAATCATTGGTTCCCAACCAGGGGTACTATGACCCATAGGGGTACTTGAGAAGAATAGACCATAGGCCTACTGGTAAAATGCAAATGAGGGGGTACTCTGGGCAGAGCAAAATTCAGTTGGCGGTCCAGTAACCGAACAAGTTTGGGAACCACTGCAGTGTACGTGGTTCGTGTAATGGAAATGAAACTCCGTGGGTCCATCAGGTTCCGTGGTGTAAAATAAATCTAGCACTCATGACATTGGCGCCCCATGTGGATATAGCCAATCAGAACGCTGGATATTTGTGGCGCTTTCTATTAATTTGATATTTTCAATTGTAGGCATCTACTTAATATATGTTATATTGGGTATGTGAATAAATACTTTACATTTCTCCTGTAATTGAGGTTTTTGTTTAGAAACAAAAATTCCATCAGGCACTTTCTCTGGTACCTCATATGTAAGCGCGCGCGTTCGCTGGACAACTTTGAATTACGGAAACGAGTGAAGTGAACCAAAACTCTCTCAGTGAACTGTTTACATTCGGCAAAACACGGTAAGTCAGTGCTCGTTATTGTACAACTTTCTAAACGTATCTATTGTTAGAAATTGCGTAATTCAAATCTGGTATTGGAATAAGAATCAAGAGATCTTCAATCCAAGCTTAATTTATTATATGCAAAATGTATGTATGATAAGTATGAAGGTTCGTATATACGGGTCCGCTGAAATACCACGCAGGGCACTCAGAGAACTGAACTATTGTTTACAGGTTATTTCTCAAATACTCTGACAGAGAGTTCCCACCTCTTCTGTTGGCCAATCAGAGTAAAGGACTGAGTGTGGTTTAGATTTTACTCAGCCAATCCGTTGGCGCACGGGTTAGTCCCACCCCTTGGCGCTCCACCTTCCCAGGCATAAGTTTATCATAACAACCTGTAGAGTCAGCACCCAAAAGACTGTACGTTCCTACATCCAAGGACGGTTCACAGACAACGGTTCACAGACAACAAAGAGGCAGTGTTCGTATCTGTAAGAAATACAAGTCTTATCTGTCCTTCCCCTAACGTTCCACACATGAATCACAGCCTGTTATGTGAAACAATTTATATCAGTATAGTACAAACCTATGCTCCTCATTAATGCATTCCTTCTAAGTTATTCATCACATACAGATCCAATTATGAGAAAAATAGAACCCAACACTATTTAAGATGTTAGTGACAGTCGTTGTCAGAGGGTCTGGACATTAAAGTTGACTGCTAATGTTTTCAAGCAAGAGCCTCTGCAACTAACGTTAGCTAGACATTGCATTGGATTTTGTTGACCGTAGCCAGCAAACCATTTAAGTGGTGTTGATGCACTAGTCAGTCTACTCTAGAACATGCAGTAATTTATTAAAGTGTATTTCTACTAACATTTTCCACAGAAAATACGTCTCACCATGTCTCAGAGCAACGGGTTTCAGGACTGTATGGACACGGGAGAGGCGATGGTCCAAATACTGAAAAGCAGCAAAGCTGACGATAAATTAAGAATAGTGAGAGAAAAACAGCAGTGTTTCTTTGAGCAACACTGGGACACGAAGAAAACCATCACACAGATGTTAAACGGTAAGGGAAAATAATCAAATTGTAGATCTTGTCATATGATAACATACTTTATTTCCATGCTGTCAAAATATTTGTCCCAAGCCTAATCTTTATCGCCATTGTCCTCAGATGTAGTTCAGTGTGAGGACAAGGCGAGCAAGAAGCTGCTGGACATGGAGGAGCAGAAGAGCCGAGCCAGGTAGAGCGGGAGCTGGACAGCCTGGAGCAGGAGCTGCAGCAGTGTACAGCAAAAAGCCAGGACATGGACACAGAACTACAGTATCCTTCACCCAGTCATGCTGTCTCTACACAGAACAAGTCCTTCATGTACTGCAATTGGTGCTCTCAAAAGCGCACATGAATGCTGTGTTACCCAGATAATACATATAGGGAGCAGTCCCATTCTACCTTGAGGTTGTCTATAGCAGCAGGCTGACCAGGCTGCCATCCATTGTTGAAAGTATTTTGAGTTTTCAGTTTATATGCCATACAGTGAGTACGTTTACATGCACACTAATAATTTATGATTATGGCAGTAGGCCGAGTATGGCAATAGTCATGTTAACACCTTACTCTGCTTATCTTATTCGGCGTAAGGTGAAAATTGAAGTAAGCATACGCCGATTAACCTGCAAAAGTCTAAGCCGTTGGAGGGGGCTCTAAGCTAACATATGGAATTATTGTAAGATCATTTAGCTATTTGATTTAGAATTTTAGGACCCCTTTAGGTATCCCCAAAAATTAAAAATACATATTTGATCAAATATTGAATTTGGCCTTTACTACTATAGCCCACAGAAACGCATTGAATAACGCATTCATAAATGGCAAAAAAGACAGTCAAAAAATAAATCATAAGGATTGGAAATAAGGTTTGGAAGTGTCTGTCCTATATCTAGGAGATATAAGAAAGCTCAGGAAATATTGTTGTTTTATTGGACACATATTTAACCCCTTATTTTTGTTGGCACAAAACTACCTCCATACTTCCATTTGTTTATATGGGTTACCTTCAGAAGAGCAAAACGGTGAACACCATCGTGAGAGTCTCCCCTTTCCATAGTGGGGTCATATTAGTTCGTTTGATTGAGATGCAGCCCATGCTTAAACTGACGGGTTTTGATGGGGATTTTTTTATTATGTTACTTAGCTTGACGCACAGGTGCATCTATAGACCCTTATTAAAACACCTGGTTTTATGAGCAATCTTTCGAATTATAAGGACATTTAAACAGGCGATCCACAGGTGAATTTTATCTGCGCATGTGCCAGCAGAGCAAGCCTCCTTTATGCATGAGTTAAGTGAGTTCGGAAAAACTGAAAGTTCAGTGGGGGAAAAAAGTATTTAGTCAGCCACCAATTGTGCAAGTTCTCCCACTTAAAAAGATGAGAGGCCTGTAATTCTCATCATAGGTACACGTCAATTATGACAGACAAAATGAGATTTTTTTTCTCCAGAAAATGACATTGTAGGATTTTTTATGAATTTATTTGCAAATTATGGTGGAAAATAAGTACAGTGGGGAGAACAAGTATTTGATACACTGCCGATTTTGCAGGTTTTCCTACTTACAAAGCATGTAGAGGTCTGTAATTTTTATCATAGGTACACTTCAACTGTGAGAGATGGAATCTAAAACAAAAATCCAGAAAATCACATTGTATGATTTTAAAGTTATTAATATTTGGTACAGAAACCTTTGTTTGCAATTACAGAGATCATACGTTTCCTGTAGATCTTGACCAGGTTTGCACACACTGCAGCAGGGATTTTGGCCCACTCCTCCATACAGACCTTCTCTTCTCCAGTTTCGGGGCTGTCGCTGGGCAATACGGACTTTCAGCTCCCTCCAAAAATGTTCTATTGGGTTCAGGTCTGGAGACTGGCTAGGCCACTCCAGGACCTTGAGATGCTTCTTACGGAGCCACTCCTTAGTTGCCCTGGCTGTGTGTTTCGGGTCATTGTCATGCTGGAAGACCCAGCCACGACCCATCTTCAATGCTCTTACTGAGGGAAGGAGGTTGTTGGCCAAGATCTCGCGATACATGGCCCCATCCATCCTCCCCTCAATACGGTGCAGTCGTCCTGTACCCTTTGCAGAAAAGCATCCCCAAAGAATGATGTTTCCACCTCCATGCTTCACGGTTGGGATGGTGTTCTTTGGATGCAACTCAGCATTCTTTGTCCTCCAAACACGACGAGTTGAGTTTTTACCAAAAAGTTATATTTTGGTTTCATCTGACCATATGACATTCTCCCAATCCTCTTCTGGATCATCCAAATGCACTCTAGCAAACTTCAGACGGGCCTGGACATGTACTGGCTTAAGCAGGGGGACACGTCTGGCATTGCAGGATTTGAGTCCCTGGCGGCATAGTGTGTTACTGATGGTAGGCTTTGTTACTTTGTTCCCAGCTCTCTGCAGGTCATTCACTAGGTCCCCCCGTGTGGTTCTGGGATTTTTGCTCACCGTTCTTGTGGTCATTTTGACCCCACGGGGTGAGATCTTGCGTGGAGCCCCAGATGGAGGGAGATTATCAGTGGTCTTTCCTAGTAATTGCTCCCACAGTTGATTTCTTCAAACCAAGCTGCTTACCTATTGCAGATTTAGTCTTCCCAGCCTGGTGCAGGTCTACAATTTTGTTTCTGGTGTCCTTTGACAGCTCTTTGGTCTTGGCCATAGTGGAGTTTGGAGTGTGACTGTTTGAGGTTGTGGACAGGTGTCTTTTATACTGATAACAAGTTCAAACAGGTGCCATTAATACAGGTAACGAGTGGAGGACAGAGGAGCCTCTTAAAGAAGAAGTTACAGGTCTGTGAGAGCCAGAAATCTTGCTTGTTTGTAGGTGACCAAATACTTATTTTCCACCATAATTTGCAAATAAATTCATAAAAAATCCTACAATGTGATTTTCTGGATTTTCTTTTCTCAATTTGTCTGTCATAGTTGACGTGTACCTATGATGAAAATTACAGGCCTCTCTCATCTTTTTAAGTGGGAGAACTTGCACAATTGGTGGCTGACTAAATACTTTTTTCCCCCCACTGTATGCATCTTAGAAATAGTTTTCACATACAAACTTTATTTCCCAGCTCAGAATCAAATACGTTTCCCAAAAATCATTTTGTCGCTATGGTAGAATGTTTATTTAGAAATGCGATTTTCTCCATTTATCAAAGTCCCATCAGGTAGCCTGTGTAGATGAGTCCATGTAAACAGGATTATTATGGAAATCGTTCTTCTTGCAAAGCATGTAAACATTTAAATTGAACTATTATATTAACTGGACCATTCACAATAATCATATTATTGTGTGCATGTAACCGTAGTGACTATCTGAGAAGAGATGTTGACTGATTGATTTGATTTGTGTCAGTCATATGCTATTGTTGATTGTATAAAACTCCACTATTTTAGGAGGCTAGGATTTCTGTGGGAGATTCTCAATTGGGAAAAGTCTGTCTTCTCCTCGACGACTCCGTCCTCCTCTCTTCCGTGACCTGGAAACCAATAAGTGATCGAGTCAGTGGTCTAGGAGAGTTTCATTTTGTTGTTAGGCGAACGGAGGAGTATGCTCACCTCCTCGATTACCTACTTCGGCAGAGGATGCACAAGAGTATCATCCCGATGACTAGCGAGGAAGGGTGTTAAAATCTGCCACAACCCCTTTGAATCAGCTGTTTTCTCGAAAGAGAAATGCATGCACACATTTAAAAACGATACACTACTTTTATCTATGAAATGTCTTGCACAACTAGCTAAATGTGTTTTTATCACGTTACACTTATTTTGGAATTCCACCCCTGTAAACATAATTTGCCTGATGAAGCACGAGTGGACAAGGAGTCAACTGGTCCTGTGTGGCTCAGTTGGTAGAGCATGGCGCTTGCAACGCCAGGGTTGTGGGTTCGATTCCCACGGGGAACCAGTATGGAAAAAAGTATGAAAAATGTATGCACTCACTATTGTAAATCGCGCTGGATTAAAGTGTCTGCTAACTGACTAAAATGTAAATTTAATACAAGCACATTTGTTTCCACGTTTCCTCGCCTCCGCTCCTCGATTTCCTTTGACCTTTTTTAAAATCAGGTAAGGAGAGGCTGGCGTTGAGGGGTCGTGCACATCTAGTTGAGATTCTCCCCATGTTGGTTTCCTTGACCTGTTCCTCAGGTTCCTGCAGAAGGAGCTGGAGAATCTGCGTGACTCAGAGCAGGAGCTGCAGACCCTGCAGCAGGAGGTTGATGATGACACCACTGAGGTCATCCCATCAGCCATGTGAGTGGGACTAACAGTCATACTGAAATAATCACTCCAACACAACACCACACAAGCCCACCACACTAAACCCTGATAGTCGGTGAGCATTGATCTCACATGACATAAACTGTTCATTCTGCAGATACGTGGCCCAGTTGTACCACAAGGTGACCAAGATCAAGTGGGAGTATGACACGGAGCCACACATTCTGAGAGGAGGTATTTGTCACTGCATAACTGTTTTTCCAATACCCTTTGACAACAGTCACAAATGTGGAATTCTTGTTTAATGGCTGGTTGATGTGGGTTCTGGTTGCGTTAACTAATGTTTGACTGTACTTTATACCCTTGCAGTGCACTATGGAGCTGACCTGGCCACACCCATCAACATAGACACCTCTGTGCGGTCTCGGTGTTCAGTCAGTGATGAGCTGTGGAACTTTGTCGGCACTGAATGGTAGAAGAGAAAGTTGCCACATCTGTCCAGTTGTTGTTTGTCCTGTAGTTGGATTTTCTGTTGTATTTATGTATTGTGTGTTGTAATACATTTGTTTTATACTAAGATTGTATTCCTTATATTTTGTTATAATGAATAAAGCAGTTTTCCTAAACATCACATTCCCTAGAATACTTATTTGGATAGTAACCTATAATCCTAGCTTTTATTTTTTATCTACTTTCACCATAGACATTATGATTTTTATTAAGACAATATTTTCTGCCAATAGGTGTCATTGCAAGCCCACTGCTTTTTGATACGGTACTGAAATTACTGTATTGAAAAGTTGGGGGCTGCTCACCTTTTTAATGCAATAAATGTCCAATGTGAAGGTGTGCTTATGCAACAGACAGTTTTCTGGACTGCATTGCAACAGTAAAACAAACATTAACTTTTTTTTGCTAACTTTGTTGTGAGATTTTCTGGAATGGTAACTGTTATTCATGGTAAATGTTATTCCTCCATGGGCTTTCCATGTCTAAGGCAAGGGGTATGCACAATTGACTAGTGTTTCTGAGGTTTTGGTTGAATAAAAATATAATTGGAACTGCTGCAGTAATAATGTGTTGCTGTTATTTATTGTCAACCCGTTGCATTTTCCTAATGAACATCGGTGAGCCTAAAAGCCCAAGGGATAAAATAATTGGCAGGGCAGAAAGCCTGATATGAGTTATTGTGGAGATTATCTCATTTTAGAGCAACTGTATTTATTGAATTTGTGGCCAGCCCAAACTTGACCCACTTTTGCTGACAAAGTGAGTTGAACCATTCTTTCTAGTCTAGAATGGAAAAAGTATGTTTTTTGCTCACTTACAATTGATGCAAACCTTACCATTACTCTTCATTGCACGTCCCACACGTTTTGTAAATGAGTCATATTTTATTGTCATTGCTTAGGTTTCTGCCAGTGTAGCATGTGGTGAGTAGTTGGTTTGATACAAGGCGGGGGACAGGTTTCGTTTGGATCTCAACTCGTGTAACCTCGTCAGCTGGTGGTTTCTTGTTTATAATCTTACTGGAAACGGGGCATCAAGTATATTGTCCCCAATGACTGCTGCCTTCTCTCTCTGTTGCCACAAGCGCATGCCGCCTTCTTGGGTGGTTGCTTGTGGTATGGATTTGGTGCACTGTGGGCCAAGTGGGGGCTTTGTCTTGTGTGTTTACTTCAATAACTTCAGCATCAATCAGACATTTACATTTTATTGTGACATACAGTACATTGTTTCTTTGGCATCTGTCTCTGCTCTATCGTGGGAAAGTACACCTTGGTATATATATTTTTTGTAGACTGTTCCATCTTCTCAAATTAATTAAGTTGCTTATCAGTATTTATGCACTTTTCAGTGTTGAAGTATATGGTATGTGATGACTATATAGGTCAACACCTTTTATCACTGGTGGATGATGGGAGGGTAAGCTTCCTGTGAAAGATCTGAAACATCTCACTCACCACATTGACACTTTAATATTCTCACACGAGGTCTCTGGCTTCACAAAGATATGGTGAGAGGAAATGACTAGATTCAATGTTATTTATATGGATGTTTGTTCTGCAAAACAATGGCAAAAAATTATGTTTTTGTAGATATTGTTCACATACATTTATTTATTGTTTGAATGTACATATAAAACATTGGCAGTGGCCTCATACATTTAGTTTAGTTCAGAATAAACAAAATACAGAAACTATAGTTCATTTTATTTACACAATATCCTGTATAGTACGGTATGACAGAAATATATATATTTTCATTTGTACATTTATATACAATGTGAAAACAGATTTGAATTACTTGCTTTTCAAACATCACTGCTGTCACAATGAAACTTTATACATGGAACCCCAAGCATTTGTGTTTTGTCTTTGACTAATTTCTATTAACCACTGTTTACAGAAGATAGACTTAACACTTAATTTCATAAGATGGATTTTCTCCAGCTTGTACTGTTTTTGTGAACAGGCTGTGGTTTGCATATGATTTCCATACTTTGAGTCCACAAAACCAGAGTCGTCAATAAGCCTAATCTGTTATTTTTATTGCTCACAATCATGTCTGCTGCTACATGTGTTTTAGAGACCTCCAAAGATGTGCAAACCAGAAGAGGCATCCATGTGACATTCTCTGTGTGTCTTTAAGCCACCAAGCCTCTAATGTTGGTCTGGGGACCTCTACCCAGAATTCCAGCTGACCCGAGATCAGATGACAAAAATGACATGGTTCTGACCGCAGTTTTGGGTGTGGATGCTTCCTTTTTTAACTACATGTCATTATGTTTGTATTATGAGAGAGAGAGAGAGAGAGGGGATGAGCCTTAGCATGTCTCAATCAAATGTATACTTTAATTATGTGTATGACTCAAAATAAAATGTACTGAATGAGTTTTCAATTTGTGTATAATAAAAAAACATGAATAACGTTAATTTTTGCAGCTGCTGGTTGAGTGGTTCTCTTTAACTACCGGTAAATGGTGAATTCAAAATACTGCTACAAATATGAATCCATCCCTTCAGGAGGGTTTTTCTGCAGTTTGGATTATCGAAGATTTTTAACGTATTAAAGATATACTGTATCTCAGCAGACGAGAAAATGAATTTTACAGTATGAGAACAGCATATTAATCTGTTAAATGCTTGGCACTGAAGAGTAAAAACCAACAAGGTATTTATTTCTCTAACGCTGTGACTGAGGTTTGACTTGCTTACAATAGACCGACCAGTCTTTAAGCGGAAACCTCCAGCTTATCTGTCCAGGAGGAAAATGCCAGGCCAGGGGAGGAAGGCCAAACAATGGTGGGTTCCGCTGACGTTCTCTACCATTGAGGTGAGAGGAGGAGTATTACTTCCTCTCTGCTTCTAGTTCCATTTACAACCCATACGTAACATGTAGTAGTCTCACAGCTGTAAGATGGGGCCGTAGAGCGGTCCAGTTAAGGGGGTATCCAAAACTCTGCTCTTACTGTAATTGGACCAAACTCCATTATTACTTTTGAGTCACATTGGGCCGTCATGGACAAGTCATGTCTTTGACATCCTGGGGTAGATGGCTTTAATAGTGGAAGGGGTGAAGTTGGCAGAGGAGGGCGCCTCAGTCTTACTGGTACTACACTCCAGGAAGGGCACCCCTATCTTCTTCACCTGGCCATCCTTGGTGAGGAGGCAGCGTCGACACAGCAGCCTCAGGATGGCCCTCCTCATGTCCTTACTGGTCAGGGTATAGATGATGGGGTTGAGGAGAGAGTTGAACATGGCGATGCCCAGGAAGTAGTCCGCCTTGAAGAGCACCTGGCAGCTCCGTGCCGGGCAGCAGAAGTCCAGCAGGAGGAGGATGAAGAGAGGCAGCCAGCAGACGATGAAGACGCCCAGCACGATGGTGACGGTCTTCAGCAGGGCCATGTACTTCTGGGACTTGCGGGCCAGGCCTTTGCGCTGCGGGCCAGAGCCCAGGTGCTTTGTGTTGGACTTGACAGTGCAGAAGATGCGCACATAAAGCACCACGATGGCCAGCAGCACAGCGGTGAACACGGTGATGAAGAAGAGGATGTAGCTTTTGGCGAAGAGCGGCAGGACGGTGGAGCACTGGTCCAGACGGCCCATACAGTTCCAGCCCAGGACGGGTAGCACCCCCAGGAACACTGACAGAACCCAGCTGGCCCCGATCAGGGCAAACATCCGGCCTCGCTTGGCCCCACGGTAGGGCTTCATCCTCACCATGGTGACGTGGCGCTCAATGGCGATGGCCAGGAGGCTGATGACGGAGGCGGCCAGCGTTATGAAGACTCCCCCCTCCCTCAGGAACCACAGCACAGGGGTCATCTTTAACGTGTTGGCCCCTGAAGTCACAATGTTCACCATGTAGGTGAATCCTGCTAGTAGGTCTGAGAGTGTTAGGTTGCCTAACAGATAGTACATGGGCAGGTGGAATTTCTTATTCTTCCAGATAGCCAACAGCACCACAGCATTCTCCAGCACTATGAGCAAGCAGATCAGCAGAAAGGCTATGGCCTCTGGCTTTAGTCCATCCTTGTACTTGTTCTCCTTCAGTTTGCCTGTGTAGTTGTAGTGATCTCTGATGACAGCATTGCTCTGGTACTGGCAGAACATCCGGAGCAGGTACCCTGGAACCACAGTGGGGGCAGCAACAGCGGCGTAAGCAGCATGCGATGGTTCCATTGGTATTCGGAGAATGTTGCTTTCTTTTTAGCTGACAAGATGCTTTCCACTCTGCATCACATAGTTCTTAGGCAGTCCATAATTCAATATGTTGGAATTGGGGAATGTATATTCCTTAGGACATCTATCTTTGAATGTTGTTTCTGACAGATCAGTCCATTTTTTTAAAATGTAGTATAAGGTAATAAGAATCTTCAAAGTGATAGCAATATCCAAAACTGTGCAATGCCTGGACAATCCACTGGAAACCTGGAAACAAAATAACAGCATTGAAATACAGTATAATAGCCTATTTATCAGTACCAACACACACGTAAAAGGGGGGGGGGGGGGGGGGGGGTACATTCTTCATTTTAGTAATTTAGAGACTTTTATCCGACAACTTTGTTAGTGAGTTCATACATT